ACAACAATCTCAAGTTGGAAATTTCCAGCTCCTATATTTTGTTCTTGTACATCTTCCTTTCATAACTTTGCTGCTGTGAATTGGGAATTTCTCCATTGTAAGACTAGTAAAGGTTTTCTTATCTTATTCAGTTGTAAAAAGTACAACAAGTTTACACGTGGACTCAAGAGTCAGAAAATGCCTTTTGAAAATAGCTGTCTTATTGCTTTCATCTTCCCCACAGGGTTGTGTATTCCACACGGGCCAGCCCTGTGTGGGGTTTGCGCCAATCGTGTCTGTAGTTGGCGTATGCGTCCAGACGACGAGTTCAGTTGTGAAAAGTCAAAGTGACGCGGCGGCGCAATCTGCAATCTGTGCCTCGGCTGGCGCCGGGCGCGGGCAAATCTCCACTTGACCTGATGGAGGCCGTCCAGCGGCGGCATTAAGGCAGCACCACGCGGGAGGGTAGTGGGCAGGGGGGCGGGGTTAGCGGGGATGGTTGGCGCACACTTTGCTGATAAGCCAAGAGATGAGGTAGCGTCAAGCGTTTTGTGCTGCTAACTCAACTAAAAAGCTTCAGGTTGCCTTCAAAGGCCCCAAACTATTTGCTACTCGTTGAGAAAAGGAGCCAAATCCACATAAATGTTCTTGTGCGAAGATCCAAAAAGTTACTTCTACTCCGATGCACACTTAAAACCCTCATTTGAAACCCAACCCGAATATAAATGCCGAACCCATGTATGAACCCCAAACCCTGACTTGAAACCATACTTTCAAACCCGAACCCAATTTAAAAGCTGGAATCGGGCTTGAAACCGTAACGCAGGCTTGGGACAGCCTCACCTGAGCTCATTTGAAACCTGAAATCAAATTTAGAATTCTTACTTGAAACCCTAACATTCTCCTGCAGCACCAATTTGAACGCACGCCTCACTCAGGATTGACATCATTTAAAACCTTACCCCTGTTTTGGAAGCCTAACGAATGCTAAAAACCATAATGTGAAAAACAAGCCCATTCTGAAAGCGTTCGTCTGACAGAGGAAGTATTGCTTCTACCGAGCCATGTTTAGCACAGCCACTGTTTTTATTTTGGTTCGTTTGTACTTCCTGGTTTTTTTTTTTTTTTTGCCTTGTGACAGTCAGCATCAATGTTGCAAATGTTCTAGCCGTCATGTTTCTCTTTTTGTTTTCTTTTCAATGGGTGTTTGTCATCTATGATCTCGGTTTGAGAATGGGGTGGTGGTGGTGGGGGGGGGGGGTCACGGAACAAATGAAATTCACCGCACGAGATTTCTCCGTATTTCATGTTGAGTGGTTTTGTTTTTTCTACATTTCACAGCTGATTTCCACCTGGAAAGGAAAAGAAAGGATAAGAAAAATAAGAAAAGAAAGTAAAAGGAAAGGAAATTGATGCAAAAAGTGGAGGCGTAAAGCAGCCCGCGTTCGTTTCCACCAGAGGAAGGAAGCCGCTTGGTGGGAGATGTATGCACCCCCTCCCCCCCAACCCATCAGCACCTTCCCAAAAATAACAGAGGTTGACTGTAGAGTGCTAGGTTAGCTTGCGCCGCTAGTCGCAGACAACAGAATGACGTGTCTTCCGCCAGAGCGCTTCTGGCCATTCCTAAAAATAGACCCCGGCTCAGTCGCCCTCTCATCACAAGTATCAAACATGGCCGTCACGGTCGGCCATCTTAAGTCTGGCTGACACACTCCACTCGGCTTTGAAAAAAACCAAACAAAAAAACATGGTGAAGGTGAGACTTTTGTGACGCTTTCCAAAATTAGCCCTGCCCCGCTAAATGATGATGAAGTGGCGGTGCTAATGTAGATCATGTATGGAGACAGACAGAATTGGAAGATGTGGGGGGGGGGGGGGTCACATGTGGGGAAGGGTCAGCTCGCTCCAATGTGCCAATGTCAAACCCGAGGCCTGGAAGCCACGTCATGTTTTTGTAGTTTGCCCCCCTAAAGCTAATCTTGCGCACCTACTTCCTGTTTCTTGCCAAAATCAACAAAATTCCAAATCGTCTTCACTTGAACTCGTTTCCGTTGGTCTAATGGACGAATATATTCCTCGAGTTGGGTTTTCTGTGGGTAGGCGTGCAAGAGGGGACGCACTGAAAGCGCGCATTAGCCAGGGGCTCAAAGGGGGCCTGGTACAGAGTGTCAAGCACCGATTGGTTGTTCCCATCTGGCGATACAAGGCGCGTCGTGAGGGCGAAGCCCCAGAGCCACCCTAAGGAAAGATGGGACAAGGGCGTAGCACCTCAAAAGCCCCAATCTGAAACCCTTCGACTGATTTGAAATCCGGTAACGACAAAAAGGCCCGACGGTGGGGGAGAAATCTAAAGTAAACATTTTTTTCCGATGTCATTGTCATCTGGGGACGGCTAACGTCTTTTATTGGACACGCTAAACCCGATCACTGCGCAACATTAAGCCTGACAAGAACGCTTGAATATTTCATGAGCTCTCAATCGCACCACCACAAAAAACAAAAAAAAACGCCAAAGCGGAAACGCTCCAATACGTTTTGCAAACTTGTCGCTAATTTGGTAGCGCGCAAACCCTGCCAGATGATTCGGCCAAGAACAGCAGAATATCCCGGATATGCGCCGATGTGCTTCCCTAGTGGCGAGAGCAGCATGAAATGGCCAAACGATTTCGCGCCGCATCTGACGAAGCCACTTTGATTCAAAATCGGGTGAAGCAGATTAGTTTGGATTTACTGCCATTTCCGTGTACCTCGTTTTGGGACAATCCACTTGGGAAGCTGTCATAGTTCTTGGTAAGCTGCGAAATTTAGGTTATTATTTAATATCCATTTGGGTGAGAGGTGTGTGCAGATCCCAATAGGTCACTATTATCAATATCTGCAAACAGAAAGATAGCACTTCAGAGGATTAGCGCTTGTTTTTCTCTGAACCTTGTCACCATGGCCATACCTGTCTTGAGTTTTATTTTATGCATTATCAGTGGTCGCAATCTGCCCCACTGACGCCCATAACAGTCAAACATTGACGTGAGCAAATGTGTGTGAGCGGGGCCACATGGTGACGGCTGACCTGGCCTACTTACTGCAGCGCTGCCGCCGCCTCATGAGGAAGTGAATACAACCACCACCACCACCACAAAAAAAAAAAGGGGATGTGCCGCTGATCCTTTACATCTGCACGCAGACTTGTGAAACTTGCCAATACTACGACATCCGATACCGACCTGAAACACTTTTGTACATTCAATCAAAACGTTAAAACCACATGTACATGCATGACCAAAGCATAAACACCAGACTTGGTCATGTTTGGTAACACTTGAAGGTGTAGAGGGTGAGAAAGAGTCGACCAATCATTAAAAAAGACCAAGACCAATCCTTGCTGCTTGCGAGGACGACTGACACATCGACTGCCCAATGACTGCATGAAGAGTGACGGATCAACTATGTAGACTAAAATTAAAGAAAGAATATTCATTCTCATTGCCCAAACATACAACCAGTCATTTCCCAAACGTCTGACCAATCAATGACTGACATGTTGACTGCTCAACCACTGCACAAACAGTGACTTACTGGCAAAATAAACTAAAATTAGTCAGCAATATGAAGAACACAAATCCACATTTTCCAAACTGACCAATCATTTCCAAGCAAACAACAGACCAATCATATACGCCGCTTTCGACAATGACACATGTCGATCAGCCAATGACTTGTACGACAACGGTGGAAAAAGTTGGTCACTTCGTATGACAAGTGACGTAAGGCGCGTGACGTCCGACGTGCGCTGAATCCTCAGGCGCGCTTCTTTCAACACAAACGAGGGACAAAAACAACGGGCTCGTGCGCGCGCACGGCTTCCAACGTACACTTCAGCCACGCACGCGCGCGCACAGACGCTTCCGCCGCCTGTCGCTCTCCTGCGCTCACCAAAGGGGGATGACGTCATTTTTCAACGCTTTTTTTTTTAAACTAAGACCGCGTTTGCTTTGAACGCAGCGAGTCGGTCGGCAAAATCGATAGAATGGCGCATATTACGAATCAACGCCTGAGAAAGCGGTCGTTCAGGATTAGACGGGTGCATGTTGGGGGGAGGGGGGAGGAGGGGGTTAGTCACGGCATTGATAGTAAGACCCTGTGAAAGCGCCACGGTGGTCCACGCACTTGTCACGCTGACCCACATTGCGTGACACGGCCGAAATCCTCCTCGCCACCTGCTGTCATCCGTGTATCCAACTCACCAGCAGCACCGGCGAGGACCACCGAGCGACGCGTCCTTGTCTCAATTTTTTCCTCCACGGCGGCAGTCGACGCGGAGCAGGTGCCCCGCAAACCCAAGCCAGCAAGCCCCGGCCGCAGCTGTCGCCTGTCACCCGACGCGAACGCACACTGGGCGCTTAATAAGCATCCAAATCTGATGCGAGTCATTCGACAGCAGAGTCCACGACGGTGAAGTTGCCGCCTCCGAGTGCAGTGACGTCGATTTAAAGACTCCCACGTGACTGAGAGTTAGCATGAGATAGCGGCTAATCCGCGAGTAGGAAGTGTCAATCACGCACACACCCCCGTTCGTTGCCCTCCTCCCCTCAGCCCGAGACTTCGGTTGCTCACCTTTTAGGGGCACAAAGTCGTCGTACTGATAGGAGCTAAAAGCACAACAAGACAAAAAGCAGTAGAGAGAGAGAGAGAGAGAGAGAGAGAGAGAGAGAGAGAGAGCGAACGTGCGAGATAAAAGTGAGAAAGAGAGAGAGAGAGAGAGAGAGAGAGAGAGAGAGAGAGAGAGAGAGAGAGAGAGAGAGCGCGCGAGAGAAAAGTGAGAGAGAGAGAGAGAGAGAGAGAGAGAGAGAGAGAGAGAGAGAAGGGAGGTTAAATTCCAGTTTTAAGAGAGAAAATGTGTCGGTGGTTGCTCGGATTTCCTAATTGGCACACACCCGCGCGCGCCGGTGGGACGACCTAAAGTTGGATTTGTGGATTTAAGAAACATAATTAAAATGACAATATATTTGAATAAGTCTTCTTACCTGCTGTCCGTACCAAACAATCCCTCAGGTATGATGAAATGATAAAAGACCTCAACCGTGTCGGGGGCGTGCGTGCGCGCGTAACTTCCAAGCGGGTCCCCCTCAAGGGCAATTCTGCCATCTGTTGGTCATATTTGGAACTGCACCGAGAGAGGACTGGAATACGACGTGAACCAGCCTTTTTGTTTCTTGTTTATTTTTTTACGATTCACTACAGCACCATCCTATGATATATTGGTGCCAAGTGACTTTGAAGTTGGGGAGTGTTTAAGATAAGATAATATAACCTTTATTTGTCCCACAGTGGGGAAATCTGCAGTCTACAGCAGCAAGACTGGGGTGGGGGGGATAAAGTGTTTCATTGCACAAAATAAATGTTTCAGAAAAGAACTGTACACAGTTCAATATAAGTGCAATATAAAATACAGCATTAGGAATATATATTTGTAGAATAAATACAATAAATAATAAATAGCAATTCTTCCCAATCATGCTATTCCAAAAACACCAAAATTGAAATATAACTTTATTTTCTTGTTAATCTTCAGGAACGAGTAAGGGAAAGTCGAAAAAAAAGATACGTTTTTATTTTTAAAACGAAAACGGAGTGACAGTGGGCGGGGGTAATTTTTCTTTGATATACTGTACTGTGGTCTTGTCTCGGTCTGAGTAATGTCTTGGTTCGTGTGGTCAGGCAACACTACCTGTGCCTTTAAGAAGGTGCATTCAGGGCGTGGCGTGTTGGTTCCGAAGCCTAGCCAGCAACAATGAATGCAGTCGAGCTCAAACTACCGCGACACTCACGAGTAAACGAGTCGAGCACTCGAAAACAAATGGCAAAGGCAACAGAGCGCAGCCCATATGACGCGGGTCCTCCGGAGGCGGAGCCAGGTGACACCAACATGGTCGCCCGGTTGTCCTCCCAGTTCACCTGTCCTCTTTCCGCCTACGTCATCTGGTCGAACTGGTCGGACGGGGGTGGGTGGATTTTTTTCCCTTTTACTTTGCGCTGCTCTCCTTCACTTTTTTTTTGTTGCTGTTGGGTTTTTTGGGGTAATAGGTCTAAGTAAGGACATGAAGATCGCGTGGCGGTGATGGGGAGGAGGAAGGGGACGTGGGTGGTCGCCTGCGTGTTAGCTACAGGTGAGTTCGGGCCGAGCATACAATCACGTCTGCGCTACCACACCTTCCCACCGGCCATGTTTGTTCCAGTCGCCTTTTGGACGTCGGGCGTGACGGGCTCGCCGGAGCCGTCCGAGTCGTCCGTCGTCACGGCCGCGCCCGGCGACATCGTCCACCTTCCGTGCTACTCGGAGGGCTCCGTGATGCCTTCGGAGGCGCGCTGGCTCAAAGACGGCATCGAGGTGGAGCCGGGCGGCGGCGGCGGCAGCGGTGAGCCGCGGGTGCAGGTGCTAGGCGACGGCAGCCTTTATTTCCCAAGGGTGGCGGAGGGCGACGAGGGGGTGTACCGCTGCGAAGCCACGCTTCCTGGGAACATGACGTGGCGTGCGCGTGTCCTGCTGCAGGTAGCCAGTAAGTCACGGCTTGTTTAGCTCAGTTCAATTTATTTTATCCATCCATCCATTTTCTGATCCGCTTCATCTTCACAAGGGATGCCGGGGTGCTGGAGCCTATCCCAGCTGTCTTTGGGCAGTAGGTGGGGACCCCCCTAACCCTAACCCCAACCCATCGCAGGGCACTCATAGACGAACGACCATTCACGCTCACAATCACGACTCGGGACAATTTGGGGTGCCCAATCAACCTGCCGTGCATGTTTTTGGAATGTGGGTGGAAACCGGAGTGCCCGGAGAAAACCCATGTAAACTCCACACAGGGAGGCCCGAGCCAGAATCGAACCCTGCACCTCTGCACTGTGAGGTCAAAGTGCTAACCACTCGTCCACCTGGCCGCCTCAATTTATTTGACCTTATCTTAGAAGTTTAAGTTTAGTGCAATGGCCCGCTCAGTTCTGTAATTCGAGCCATCATGAGTTATTTTGTTAAAGTTTTTGTTGCAGCAATTTTGCCCCCTCCCACTAAAGTTGGTTCAATCGAAAGGCATTATTGATCGAATTAAATATCTCAACAGAATTATTATAAATTAGATTAACAACCATTTTACACATAATTTATTTTTATGCCTGAGTACTTTAATTACATTTAAATAAATCATACATTTTTTAAATGAGCATGAATTCTTTTACCATTAAAATAAAGTTTGATATTTTGCATACACACAGGTTAAAAAAGTATTTATATTTGGTCAATTTATTTTAAATAATGATATTAAAAATAGTATGGTAAAAAGAAACATTTTATATTTTCAACATTTGTTTATTTACCTGAGTAAAAATAATAAACACACTGTAAACAATGCCAACAATTTTAGGGAAAATAGTAAAACATCTTTTCAAATGAAAAATGTTGGTTCATTTATTATAATAGAACAAAATGTTTGCCTCCCCGTTGTCAAGTCTGACGCCGTCTTATCGTCCCCCTCAGGTGGTCCAGAGAACGTGTCGCTATCCATCGTCCCGTCCACGGCGCTGCCCAACGGCACGTTGGTCACGCACCGTGGCACCAGCGTGTCCTTCCACTGCACCGCCGCCTCGTACCCGTCCCAGAGTCTCACGTGGAGCTTCGCGGGGACGTTGGTGGACGCCGCTGGCGGGACCCCCTTGGCTTCCGCTCCCGCCGCGCCCTGGCTGGACTTCAGGGTGAAAGACATCCAGCCTGAGGCGCAGGGTTTCTATATCTGCCTTGCCAACAACACGCTGACGCACGTCGTCGCCAGCACCAGTGCGCAGCTGCTCGTCTACTGTCAGTATCAGCTCTGCATACACTGCAATACCTTATGTATAAATAGAAAGCAATTGTATTTTTCACCATAATTGCCACATGCCTTAAACATATATCAAAAAACTTTTAAAATATTCACAATTCTTTTTTTGGGGCGAACCCATGGCATTTTGGCATAGTGAATTGAGGAGCTTCATTGAGACAAAAAGTAGTGCTTTGCTGCCGCCTGGACTTTTGGCGACAAAGGACGATCTTGAAGTGATTTGAGGAGCTTCAGTTTGACACAAATGACTTTTTGCTGCCATGTCAAGGCTTAAAAAAAAACATTTTCTTTGGGGATCAGTTTTGCCCACTCGTGACTGTATTTGGGGAGCTACTTTGTTTTTGCCCGTTAATCCTGAGGACGTGAAGCAAGGGTTTCACGAAAAATAGGACAATACCACGAGGCGTCTTAAGGCTGCAGCTGTCTAACATTTCAGTATTTGAGCATCACGTTTAAAATTCAATTCAATAATTGAGTATTTTGCTT